CGTCCAATTTCTACACAATTACAAAGCGCAAAATTAATTCTGTTAATGTTAATGGAAAGAAAGAGAAGCATACAGAAAAACTTCGTCTAAGTTTAAAAAAAATATATTCTACATCACCTTTTTTATATTTTTTATTTTCTTGTCTTTTTCGGTGTCCCCTGTTAGACTGACTTTTACATTATTGTCAGAAACTGGTATCGGTTCCACCTCATCTTCGTCCTTTTCGTCTTGTTTTCTCGCCTTTCGATTTTCTCGTTTCTTTCGTTGCTTTAATGCTTGTTTAGATGGTCCTTTAGCACTACCTATTAGAAAAAAAAAACATTCAACAATTTTATAATAATATAAGATTTTCAGAGATATATCAATTACTATAAATTTTTGGTTTGAAATTCCTCCTATTAGATTATTAAATCTTGGAATATGAAGTTGAAACACTTCATTCTTTTTAAAAATATATACAGTAAACGCCTGATAGTGTGAACATTTCAATACGTAAACCTTCGCTTATAGAAACGAATGTCCGCACTAGAAGGTTTTAGGTAGAAGAGATTTGCTGAATTTAATTCTGTGGATTACTCTTAATGTATACAGGTTGGAAGTTGGAAGAGTGCTCGATATCTCACATCAAAGACTTCCTTATTATCTACAAAAGTACATAGCTACCTGGTCGTAAGTCATCGGTATCATCGTGAAGATTGAATGCAACTGTAGGTCTATTTCTTGCTGAAGGAGGTCTATATACTTGCTTTGAAGCTTGTGGCTGTGCCGGCTGTATACCATCCACTTTTTCAGAAGAAATTTTCGGTTCCTTGAATGTGTCTTTGGGAACAGGCTAAACAAACCAGCAATAACTTTGTACTCAACTTATACTAAAGTAACGTATACAAATATAACAAAAAAATGTTGACAATTCTTAGATTCTAAAATGATGTACTAATAGGAAAAATTACCTTCCAAAATACGTCGTACAGTTCGTCTTGTTGACTCCACGGTCTTTCAAAAATTAATGTTCCTGAGTAATGCCATATTTTATAGCCGTTACCTATTCTAAGTCGTGGAGAAGTGGTTGCAGTTAAAAAGTAAACACCATCCGGGGACCAGTGTAACAGGGTTGAATCAGGAGCCTCACAAGTCCCTAAATTATTATTTATTACTTATATATGTATTAGAAGCGACAAAATTCGTTTTACTGTGCAATTTTAAGTATATTAATTAATAGAAGTTGAAAAGAATAAATTTAGTAGAAAAATAAATTCTACTCTATGTCTACAATTGTAAAGTAAATTAATAAGTTTTGAGATTTCTACATAAACTGTCCCTACATACTTTTGGGGCATTTGATAAAACAGAAATAGACGAAAATAGAAATTTACTAAAGTCTTGTTTTTGTACTTCATGATTTGAAATTGAAAACTCTTTATGAAAAAATAGATTATAAAGTTACCTATTAACTTCCGAGAATTTGCATCCCATAGCTGTATCTGTCCTCTTAAATTTCCAAAACCACCAATTAAAAGTATATTGCCAAATGGATTGTAGTAAATGCTATTTTGGGGGCCACCACCTAATTCGAAGACTGACTCACATTTGGTATTGTAGAGAGTCGCTCTTGCCGGCATAAAACCATAAACTACACAAAATTCGTGTCCTTTTGGTGACCAAGCAACGCTGTAAATCGGACCTTCCTTGCCTAAATTTTTTTGCAACATGTTACATGAAATACAAAAATACTACTAATCAAAATTACTTAATGTGACAATGGCAACCTCTCCACTGGTTGAAATGAAATGTAAGCCTTGTTTACCATAATAAGAACCACCAGTCTTATCAACTTCAGTATTAGTAAGCAGTAAAGCACTTGTGCCATTTGGATTCCAGTAATATTCTACTTTGTCTGCTTGAAAAAAGCTTTTATTTGCAACTGCCTGTTGATTTTCAAAATTTGGATACTTGAATAATCTTTGGGAAAAAACGATCATTTTATTGCATTCCCAACATTTGAAAAATTACCTTCCAAAAGACGGCTGACCAGGCAAACCAAGAATGTGACAAAGTACATAGTATACACTGCCTGTAGCACTTGGAGACAAAGTGTAAGAAGCAATTTTACAAGAGTTTATGCGATACACAACTTTATCAAGATTGAAATCTTCACAAAATGTAATGTCACTTCCAATTAGTCTTGAAAATACCCTCTCATCTGCACTCCACTGTGGCTCCCTATTAACAAGAAAAACATATTTCTTAAAACATAATTGCTAATTTTAAGTAATTACCAATTAGATTGTTTCTTATGAATAAGGCTTTTCACCAATTCCCCTGTTTCACATTTATAAATATGAAGATTAGGAGAAGCCTGAGGATTTGCATTGCTAACTGTGAATGGCTCCCAACTCATTAAATAAGTCCCTAAGGGTGAAAAGGCAAGGTAATAAGCTTTTACCCCCTCATTAACGGCAACGTCTTTCCAATTATCCGTTTTTACAATATGAAGTCTGTAAAAAGTTGGTATAGTTAATGAAATCAGAGCAGTCTTTTAAACTAATTAGCAAACACCATCAATACAACTTTAATACTTTTCGGAAGTATTATACTTAAATATTAAGAAAATAAAAGTTACCTTTGTCCATTAACATAGGCAAAATACCTTCCATCGGGGCTAAATAACATAGTGCGGCATGTTTTACTTATAACAGGAGTAAACGCATCCAAATTCTTATAATCTGGGGGGCCTAACCCCATGCTCACACCGATTGAGCTACGGACTGTAAACAAACATAATTAGGTGATTTATGTAAATATCATTTTGAATTTTGTTAATTTATGATTTAAAATATACCTGCTATTGGAATAGACGTAGCCATTTTGAGGTTATATCACAATCAACGGCTGCTGTCAAGTTCTATGGATGATAATGTTGAGTTGGAAAACTACTGTTAAAAATATTTTTGTTTTGAATAATCGATTTGTTCGTAGGTTTTAAAATGAAATTATTTATGCACTGATATTAATAAATAAATGTTTCTTAAATAAAGTAGGTGCAATATTATAAGGCATTTATTATGTACAATTGAAAAATTAGTATAAAACAAAAAAATGTTTCGTTATAAAAATACTCTTAACAATCAACAAAACGAACATTCTCCTTGAATTTAAAACAATCACAATTGCAGTTTACTGAGTTCGTCGAGAAGTTCTTTTTCCATTTTTATTTTGGCCACTTGGTTTACTTCTAAAGTCTTCCCTTGGGATTGTTGTTGTTTCAGTTTCCCAATAGCGTCCAATTTCTACACAATTACAAAGCACAAAATTAATTCTGTTAATGTTAATGGAAAGAAAGAGAAGCATACAGAAAAACTTCGTCTAAGTTTAAAAAAAATATATTCTACATCACCTTTTTTATATTTTTTATTTTCTTGTCTTTTTCGGTGTCCCCTGTTAGACTGACTTTTACATTATTGTCAGAAACTGGTATCGGTTCCACCTCATCTTCGTCCTTTTCGTCTTGTTTTCTCGCCTTTCGATTTTCTCGTTTCTTTCGTTGCTTTAATGCTTGTTTAGATGGTCCTTTAGCACTACCTATTAGAAAAAAAAAACATTCAACAATTTTATAATAATATAAGATTTTCAGAGATATATCAATTACTATAAATTTTTGGTTTGAAATTCCTCCTATTAGATTATTAAATCTTGGAATATGAAGTTGAAACACTTCATTCTTTTTAAAAATATATACAGTAAACGCCTGATAGTGTGAACATTTCAATACGTAAACCTTCGCTTATAGAAACGAATGTCCGCACTAGAAGGTTTTAGGTAGAAGAGATTTGCTGAATTTAATTCTGTGGATTACTCTTAATGTATACAGGTTGGAAGTTGGAAGAGTGCTCGATATCTCACATCAAAGACTTCCTTATTATCTACAAAAGTACATAGCTACCTGGTCGTAAGTCATCGGTATCATCGTGAAGATTGAATGCAACTGTAGGTCTATTTCTTGCTGAAGGAGGTCTATATACTTGCTTTGAAGCTTGTGGCTGTGCCGGCTGTATACCATCCACTTTTTCAGAAGAAATTTTCGGTTCCTTGAATGTGTCTTTGGGAACAGGCTAAACAAACCAGCAATAACTTTGTACTCAACTTATACTAAAGTAACGTATACAAATATAACAAAAAAATGTTGACAATTCTTAGATTCTAAAATGATGTACTAATAGGAAAAATTACCTTCCAAAATACGTCGTACAGTTCGTCTTGTTGACTCCACGGTCTTTCAAAAATTAATGTTCCTGAGTAATGCCATATTTTATAGCCGTTACCTATTCTAAGTCGTGGAGAAGTGGTTGCAGTTAAAAAGTAAACACCATCCGGGGACCAGTGTAACAGGGTTGAATCAGGAGCCTCACAAGTCCCTAAATTATTATTTATTACTTATATATGTATTAGAAGCGACAAAATTCGTTTTACTGTGCAATTTTAAGTATATTAATTAATAGAAGTTGAAAAGAATAAATTTAGTAGAAAAATAAATTCTACTCTATGTCTACAATTGTAAAGTAAATTAATAAGTTTTGAGATTTCTACATAAACTGTCCCTACATACTTTTGGGGCATTTGATAAAACAGAAATAGACGAAAATAGAAATTTACTAAAGTCTTGTTTTTGTACTTCATGATTTGAAATTGAAAACTCTTTATGAAAAAATAGATTATAAAGTTACCTATTAACTTCCGAGAATTTGCATCCCATAGCTGTATCTGTCCTCTTAAATTTCCAAAACCACCAATTAAAAGTATATTGCCAAATGGATTGTAGTAAATGCTATTTTGGGGGCCACCACCTAATTCGAAGACTGACTCACATTTGGTATTGTAGAGAGTCGCTCTTGCCGGCATAAAACCATAAACTACACAAAATTCGTGTCCTTTTGGTGACCAAGCAACGCTGTAAATCGGACCTTCCTTGCCTAAATTTTTTTGCAACATGTTACATGAAATACAAAAATACTACTAATCAAAATTACTTAATGTGACAATGGCAACCTCTCCACTGGTTGAAATGAAATGTAAGCCTTGTTTACCATAATAAGAACCACCAGTCTTATCAACTTCAGTATTAGTAAGCAGTAAAGCACTTGTGCCATTTGGATTCCAGTAATATTCTACTTTGTCTGCTTGAAAAAAGCTTTTATTTGCAACTGCCTGTTGATTTTCAAAATTTGGATACTTGAATAATCTTTGGGAAAAAACGATCATTTTATTGCATTCCCAACATTTGAAAAATTACCTTCCAAAAGACGGCTGACCAGGCAAACCAAGAATGTGACAAAGTACATAGTATACACTGCCTGTAGCACTTGGAGACAAAGTGTAAGAAGCAATTTTACAAGAGTTTATGCGATACACAACTTTATCAAGATTGAAATCTTCACAAAATGTAATGTCACTTCCAATTAGTCTTGAAAATACCCTCTCATCTGCACTCCACTGTGGCTCCCTATTAACAAGAAAAACATATTTCTTAAAACATAATTGCTAATTTTAAGTAATTACCAATTAGATTGTTTCTTATGAATAAGGCTTTTCACCAATTCCCCTGTTTCACATTTATAAATATGAAGATTAGGAGAAGCCTGAGGATTTGCATTGCTAACTGTGAATGGCTCCCAACTCATTAAATAAGTCCCTAAGGGTGAAAAGGCAAGGTAATAAGCTTTTACCCCCTCATTAACGGCAACGTCTTTCCAATTATCCGTTTTTACAATATGAAGTCTGTAAAAAGTTGGTATAGTTAATGAAATCAGAGCAGTCTTTTAAACTAATTAGCAAACACCATCAATACAACTTTAATACTTTTCGGAAGTATTATACTTAAATATTAAGAAAATAAAAGTTACCTTTGTCCATTAACATAGGCAAAATACCTTCCATCGGGGCTAAATAACATAGTGCGGCATGTTTTACTTATAACAGGAGTAAACGCATCCAAATTCTTATAATCTGGGGGGCCTAACCCCATGCTCACACCGATTGAGCTACGGACTGTAAACAAACATAATTAGGTGATTTATGTAAATATCATTTTGAATTTTGTTAATTTATGATTTAAAATATACCTGCTATTGGAATAGACGTAGCCATTTTGAGGTTATATCACAATCAACGGCTGCTGTCAAGTTCTATGGTTAACGTTGAGACGACGGTTATTATTCGTGCATTGTATTGAAGTTTAAAACCATATTTTTAAAACGTTTAAAAAAACAAGGACTGTTAAACCAAGAAGTTTGTATTCAACAATTCTTCAGTTGTGTCTTTTAAACTTAAGTATTAAATATGGTATGTATAAAGTTTTGAAATATTCTGTTTTCTTCGAATTTTCAATAAGTATATGATACAAAACATTGCTTTTTAGAATGAGTGTGAAGATGAATTACAAGTTATTCTTGATATGTTACAAACATATCTTCCTAATTTTCAAGTGTCGAAATCTGATTTTCAACAACCTTCTTCAAATTTTGTTGTCACTTTATATGCAAATTTAATTAATAAAATAATTGAAGATACAGCTGGTGATAACATGGAAGACCCTGCTCCATTTAAGGGAGTAATAAACCTAAATGATGAAGAAACCAGCATTTTTACAATATTTGATTACATTTCCTCTATATACAATCATCTTGGTTATCAATTTTTTAATTTGACCGATTTATACTGCCCAAGTGCAAAAAGAACTAAATGTGTTTGCAAAACATTACTTATGTTTTTGGAAAATTTAGATGATGCATCTGAGGCTTTCTCTGAAATTGAAAATAGAGTGTTACAGGAAGCAATATGTGAAAAGAATAATTATAATCTGAAAAATGATTTACAAAGGGAATTGAGTGAAAAAGCCAATTCTGTAGGTGCTTTAAAAACAGAAAGTGACAAATTGGTTTTAGAATATTCTGAAATGCACAAGAAAGAGTCAGATTTGAAGTTGGAACATGAACAGGAAACTAAAAACATTTTACTAGAACAAGTAGCAGTAAATCAGAAAATGGAGATGTTGACAATTGATGAAGATGGGATTTTAAGATTAGAAAAAGAGCAAGCTATGTTGCAAGAGGAAGTTGTAAATACTGAAGAAGTTGAAAATGTAAAGGATTCAATTGAAAAAATTCACAATCATATTTGTCAACTTGAAGAAGAAATTGTAGGTTTTGAAGGTTGTTTAGAATGCAAAAGGAGTGAACTAAATGCTTATGAAGAAGTGTATTTAAAGCTTGAGAAATTCCAGCATACAGAAATATCTGAACTGGAAAAGCTACATAAATTGAGACTAAGCATTAAAAATCTAGAAGAACAAATTTCTTTAGCTGATAAAACCCTTTTAGAATTGAAGGCATCAAAAGTGAAGCACAAAGAAAAAACTAAACAATTAAAAAAGGACATAATAGAAAAAGAACTAGTTTTTACTAATGAAAAAAGGAGTTTATCTTCAAAGCTTCAATCACTAGAAGAAAATAAAAAACAAAAAGAAAAGTTAGTTGTCCATCTTCAAGAACAAGAAAAGAACTTGATAGACCAATTGAATTCTGTAAAAAAGGATTTAGAAATTATGGACAAGGAAGGTGAAGAAATGCATGAACTTTTTCGAGAAGCTTGTAGTGAAATAATTGTTTCAACTAATAATACAACTGAAGCTGTTAGGAGAATATTAACTGGTTTAGAAAGTAAAGTTTATCAAGTACATGGCAGTTAAGTTAATTTGAAAGGAAAAACACTGTTTAACGTATCTAATTATCTTTACCAATTTTTTCTTTTAGATTATAGATTCTTATACATTTAAAAAAAATATATTTCTTAGAATTTGAAGTAAGACTTTCTTTTGTTCTTCAAATTTAAATATTTAAATTCAAATTATAATTCTATAGCAACGCTCCAAACGTGAATTAAAGCAACTAAATTGCAGTGACCTATATCAGTTGTGACAGTTTGAAAGTTTGTATTATCTATGGTTTTTATTTCGTAAAAGATAGGTTAACAAATATTTAAAAAAACAAAAAAAATTAACATGTTTGCAAAGAATAAATGTTCTTACATTGATTAAACTCCAATTTTGGTTTATTTACATTTTCAAAATTAAATGTTCGATTTAGGAAAAGTGGTTTATACCGACAATGAAGATATTACTGCAATTATAATATAATTATCATCTAACCTTCAGACGTTCCAGAAGTTTGTGTTCAATATCTCAAAATAGAGGAGAAATTATGGCAGATGTTTTAGTCTTAGACTGGCTAGATGAATTTGAATTTCTTACTGAATGTGAATTTCATACGTTTGCTGCAGAGCAAGAGCACAATCAGGAAATCATTCTGTCTATATATGTTATCTTGGGGGATACTTCTAAATCAAAATATGGAAATGTAAACTGAATAATCACACACTACAAGCGGCAATTAACATTTGTATCATTTTAGCTCCCTGAAAGAATATGTAAACAATTTTTTGCTTTCAATCGTTCAGGAGAAGAACATTTAAAACATTTTGTACTTCAATTTATACCATCTCTTATATTACTACATTTAAATGATAAAAAATTATGTCCATCTCTGGAGCCTTTGTTAATAAGTGTTTATAATCTAGATGTAAGTTTAAAATAATATTATTCAACGATTAATTTGTAAGAGGCTTAAGTATAGATTTATATCATGCTCATATTTCTGTTTTTGTAGATTGTTGATTCAAAAGGTCAACCAAGAGTGATATCATTTAGACTCCCTAGTATAGCACAATCTTCAATTTATCATGATTCTTCAAATCTTGAATCTGCATTTCTTGCTGAAAATGCATTAAGACGCTGGGAAGAATGCAATACTAAATTAGTAAATTGGGGTCCTTTGCCTCAAGTTGAAAGCTTCAATGCACAAAATAGGCAAAGAGTACTTGCTGCTTTAACATTTTTATACAATCAATATGTTGCTAACATAAATATACAAAGTGTTGAACATGCCTGTAAGGCAATTTCCCGCATTGTTAGTCAAGGGTTTATTTCCAGTGGAAGTTCAAGAACATCCACTGAAAGTGATACCCTCCACTCTGCATTATTTCCACATAGGCTAGCAGTATCCAGTCCACTTCTGATTGAGTTTCTGCATGTCACTTATCATGCTTTAGAACGAGGTGCCAATGGAGCTGGACAAACACTCAATGATATTACTCAGCGTGCTACATATGAATGTTATGCAGGTAATTTACTAATTAGTTTTAATCAAATGGTTCCTTTAACTTAATATGAAGTGATAAAAAAAGGGTAGATACCCCATAGTGTATAGCCTTATCTTAATGAATTTATATTCACTTCACTGGGGAATTACTAAATTCTCCATTAATTATATCTGGCTCAACAGCAATGAAGAAATATCGACTTGTAAGTTCAATGGTCATTCTTTTCTATAAGAATTGACACTATTGAGTATCTAGTGTAATTATAAAAAAGTATTTGCATTTAATTTTTATTGTTGCTGGTGTTACAGTTAATTAATCGTTTTTTCAGATGTTCTTCTAGTGGCATATGCTGTAAGAAATGCTCTGCATTTTTCCCCTGCTGTTTCAGTTTCCCTACCACAGCCTCACTCAGTTTCCAAAACCATGATAACTAATGCTTCATTTAGAACGAAAAAACTGCCAGGTATTATTGTTATTTAATGTGTAGCTAAAATGTTTATATGTTGTACATTTCTTTTCTTATTATTGTAGTTGTAGTTATTTTTCGTGCTGGAATGTTTTGTTTTAACAAACTTTACCCCTGTTTATTAATTAATTAAATTGTAGATGACATTCCAATTCAAACAGAAGAATCGGAAGCACCGTTAAGTTCGATAACAGAGGAGCAGGAAGATACTGAAAAAAACCGAACACGTTCAGGTAGTGCTCTTAAGCATCTACCGAAGTTACCAGGTCTTAGTAAGAAGCCGAAACATCAGAATAAGGGCAGTCCGACGCCTCAGCGACATAGTGCCGAACCTGAACCAACAACTGATAACATTGAAATGCGTATTGCAGCAGGTGCAGGTGACCAAGTTAGTCTTGTGTCGGGTGCCTTCTCGGACACGTCTGGAGGGGACGAAACGCCCCATGCGGTCCACGTAAGCGCAGTATAAGGAAGTCGTTGGAGAAAGTTGTGTGATTGAGAAGGTTTACTACAATCTTAATCGAATTAGTTAATAAGTAGCCAAGAAATTCGAAAATGTATATCAACAGCACAAATAAGAAGAGAACGGCTGTTGATTTACATAATGTAAGTACTTAATATCGAGTACATTATACATATTTTGAAATTTCATAAGTCTACTAACTGTTGATTTTGGTTTTAAAATACATTTAGGAATTTCATTCACTCAAAAATTTAATACTCGTAAGTGATTTTCGAGTTTTTTTACGTGAAAAGATTAAACTAGCCAAATATTTTGTAGTTGAAGCTTATTTTGAATAAGAATGATTGAAAAATATAAACATTGTAAAAATTGTTATTAGGAATTAATAAGAAAAAGATATTTAACTAAATACAACTCAATTTTGTTTCTGATTGATGCGTTTTAATTATTTTGGTGATTATACTTCTGAATTTTTAGTTTTGAATGGTTCCCAAACGATAACGAATGATAAAATAGTAAATAAAAAAATGTATTTTTGATGTATATAAATGTCTTCTTTCTTTATAAATTAAAAATTATCTAATAAAACCCCTTGAAACTATTGCAATAAAAGGGAAATACTTTCCTTAGGTGTGTGTTTATAATAATGAATATTTGTATGTTATGAGAGCTAACTGTTTTTATATCCTCAATAAGTAAATTTCTGTTTTAAATTATAGATTATAGTGTCAGTACAATAACTAATATACCAAATAATAATGTGATAAAATTTAAACAAAAAAAAATCACATTATACAAATTCAATTCTTAAACAAGTTGTAATGTATGTAGGAAGGTGATAATAAAAGCTGTTTTTAATTAAAAACCTAGGAGTGTAATTGAAGAAGGCATTTAATTAAGTCTCCAGTTTTCTAAATAAAATGTGATTTTACCATTTCTCTCTTTACAAACTATTATACCATCTATACACACATAAATATTATGTATGATATACTTATTACTCTAATATAAACTGTTAATTAAATGATTGGTTTTTTTTTATTAAAAATAGAAACGACAAAATTTTTTTACCCATAAGGTTGACTAAATGAAAATTTAATTTAATATTCAAAGTATAATTTTTAAATTAAATTAGGGTGCATCCCCTAACACAAAGTTCGTGTTTGTTGGCTTGCTTCCATTGGCTAATTTTAAAGTGTCTGCCAGTAATACGTGACGTATACATATATATCAAAGTTTTGTGAATTTTGACAACATAACCACAACGAAATTAAATGGTTTTTGTATTATTCAAGAAAATGTAGTGAGTTTAAAGAACGCGTAACGTGGTTTTATATCTTTATATCTTTAAAATATTTATTACACGATTGTAAGCAGCTAATTTTATATTCAATAAATCCGGTGTTGTTATAGGTTATTAGGATCCAATTAAAGTGCTAAGCAGTAGAAGGTTTTTATTAAGTTCTACGTGGTTGCAAATAATTACTTAAGTTCCTTTTTATTTTAGCATGAAGCTGCTCTTAGTTTTATTATGTTTATTATCAATCTGTGATTTTAATTTGCTTACTGCTGCTGGAACTAGAAATAAAAAGGCTAAATCTGTTACAACTTTACTAAATACTAAATGGAGAGCTACCCCCTTAGCTCTAGAGGCTGCAGAATATTTAGCAGACGAAAATATAGACCTCTATTGGAGTTTTATAGATGGTATAAGTAATTTAAAACCTGCTCTTTATGAAATAGGTAAGTTGCAATATTATTCCATATATATCGAAAGGACAAAGATATAAAGAAGTTTTAAATATGTAGGAAATGAAAAACAACAATATGATAAGGTAACTGAAATCATATCCAAGCTTGTCTCCAGTTCTCAAGAGATGTTACTTAAATTTGGATTGTCACTTCATATTTATTCCCCAAAAGTTGAAATGTTTGATCAGATTGCAAAAGAGCAAGATCTTCCCTCCTGCCCCATAGTAGTGGATGTTGCTGGGAAATTTTTATGTAATTTGGATGAAATTGAAAGAAGAATAGAAGATGTAAGCAATTATAAAGATGTTTAGTTTTAGTGGGACTACTTTTGTTTAATTCCTTTACAGTTACAATTGGAATCTGGCTCTGTGAAAAATCCTGGCTTTTATAGGATAGATCATCATTATCCTGGATCTGAAAATAAGAGTGTACTTGCCATTTTATATGGTGAGTTAGGAACAAAAGCATTTCCACCATTCCATGAAAAATTAAAGAATTTAGCTCTTGATGGTAAAATTGATTACATTTTAAGACACTATATCGAGGTAAGCAATGTCTTTTATACATTTGGATAGTTAAACTGTAATGTATTTTTTCTAGTTTTGTAATAATGCATATTTATTCCTTATAGAAAAGAGCAGATAAGCAATTAAGATTGTCTGGATATGGTGTTGAATTGCAAATGAAATCTACAGAATACAAAGTGCAAGATGATGCACAGCTTCATGACAGCAATGAAGCTCAAGAAGGTGAAGATGAAGAAGATGCAGAAGTTGAGGGATTTAATTTTGCAATATTAAAGTAATTTAATTTATTCTCCTTGTAATAATAACTTCAGAATATATTTTACATTAAAGGAAATTATTTCCTGATGTGAAGAAGGATTTGGATAAATTTAAACAACATTTAGAGGAATCTTCTAGTGAAATGGCTCCTTTGAAAGTTTGGCAATTTCAAGAACTAAGTTTGCAAGCAGCTGAAAGAATAATGAGCTCACCAAAAGATGAAGTATTAAACATTTTTACCCATGTTTCCCAAAACTTTCCTGTATTGGTAAGTATAAGAATTAGAATTAAAATACAAAAAATAATTGTTTATGACAAAAGTTAAAACACCAAAGGATTATAAGAGTTGCTGTGATCTTACTTTATTTCTGTTTGTTTCTTCCGTTCTTTTTAGGCAAAATCTTTAGTGAAAACTGTCGTAAAACCAGAACTTAAATCAGAAATTTTAAAAAATCAAGACATGTTTGCTTCAATTCTAAATTTACAACCTTCCGACACTGCCCTTTTTATTAATGGAATGTTCTTTGATGTGGACTTGGTCGACATTTATACACTTTTGGAAGTCATGCGTCAAGAATTAAGAACCATGGAAGGACTATTTCGATTTGGATTTAGAAATAAAACGTTTACTTCGTTGCTTTCGGTAGATTTAAATGGTCCATCAGAAACCCAAGATTTTGCCATAGACGTGCGAGATTCTGCAGTCAACTGGATGAACGATATCGAGAAAGACTCTAAATATCGTAGGTGGCCAACGACTCTGATGGAACTTTTGAAACCAACTTTTCCTGGAATGCTGAGACAAATTCGAAGGAATTTGTTTAATTTGGTAAGAAATGTGCTAAGTTGTAGAGTCATAAGGACATAAGAAAGTAAAACAAAAATTATTAAAAAAAAATTATCTAAAAGTGGACAAATTGGGTGCTTCATAAATATTTATGCAATTTTTCTACATAATAACTATTGAATTACGTTTGAAATATTAAAAACTTAATTATAAATGGTTATGCTGTTCTATAAATTTTACAATTTGTAGAATGTTTAGATCCTATTTAAAAGGGCTGTTTAGGTTTTCGCAGATATTTTTCTATGTAATTTATAATTTTTAATACTTTATTTAGGTTCTTTTAATTGACCCAACGTCTACAGCCTTGAAGGATTTATTAACTCTTGTGGAATCATTATTATATCAATCAGCCCCTTTTAGGATCGGTGTTGTCTTTTCTGTTACTGCAAATCCAAGTATTACAGGGCTAGATGATGCTGGTGTAGCTATGGTATGTGCATACAATTATGTGTCTCAGGAGAAGTCGCCGCTGGAAGCCTTCACCTTTTTGTTGTCGGTAAAGTACAAGATTTCCTTTTAATTCCCTTTTTTGTGTGTTTTTATTGATTGATACTAGAATAATCAGTCAATAATTAAGAAGAAAGTAAATGTTATGGTACTTATGCCTTTCAGGTTTTGAAATCTGCGTCAGGTTCTTCGGTAACTGTAGATGATGTGAAAAAACAACTTGGACAACAATTTAGTGTAGATGTAACTGATGTTTTGGGTGAAGATTCTGACTATGATTTCGGTCGTCAGCTATCCGAAGATTTTCTGCAAAGGTCTGGTTTAACTCCTCTTCCCCAAGCTTTACTAAATGGAGTACCATTGCCGTCATCTCAGGCTATTTTGGACGATTTTGAAGAAGCTATTCTCCAGGAAGTGATAGTTCAGACACCAATAATACAGAAGGCTATTTTCAAAGGAAAACTTCTAGATTCCGATAACGTTCTCGATTATCTTATGAGCCAACAAAATGTTATGCCTCGTTTAAATCAGAGAATACTCAATAAGGACAGTAGTAGTTATCTGGATATGACTGGAATAGCAAAGACTACAATGGATGTGAAGGATCTTCTACAAATGTCAAAAGCTGAAATGACTGCGACTGCTGTAGAAAATTTGAAGTATTTCATTATCCCCAAAAAAAGTGCAAAATATTTTTCAATGACTTACTGGATTGTTGGCGATTTGGATTGTCCTAAAGCAAGAGATTTGCTTTTAACTGCATTACTAAATATGGTATGGTATTTTGAAATTAAATTTTTTGGTCTTTAAAACCCTAAGGTTTAGAGTGTGCGACGAGAAATATTATAATATTGGAAAGTTACACCTTCCCTCTAAGATAAAATAGCTTAAAGTGTTTAGGTTATTAAATATTTAATTTATATATTTATTGAAACGACACTGTTTTTAGAAAATAAATACTGAAAGTAGAGTTACCTTTTTGCCAAATGTGGATGGCAATAAAAATAATTATCTAAATAAATTGGTGCTGGCAGCTTTAGAAGTTCTACCACCTGAAAACGCAACTAATTTTGTCACCGATTTATTAAAAGGCGACAAAATAAATAAATATTTAGAAAACGGCAAAGACATCGAAGTTCCTGTAAGTATTTTTTATGTAACTTGTAAAAGGCTTGAATTAACGAGATTTTTATAGGCTGAAGTTTCATCGAGGATAAAGTCTCAAGAACTTTCTCTTAAAATGCTTAGAGTTTACTGTAAAAGAGTACTTAATTTTAAAGCCGGCGAAAGAGGAGTGATTGCTAATGGTAGGATTTTGGGACCCTTTGGTGAAAACGAAACATTTAATTCAGATGATTTTGCTCTTTTTGAGAGATTTAGTTATACGGTATATGGGGAAAAGATCGAGAAAGCTTTAGAAAATAATGAAGAAGAAGGTGCTCTATTTTATAAACAGTTTTCTATTTTGTGACCCTACATTTACTTGTTTTATTTTCCTTTTTTAGAAATATCTAGTAACAATTTTCTTCGTGCGATATCCATGCTTATCTCTCGCTCCCAAATAAAATCTCGATTCGATATTGCATACTCGGGGGATGAACATTCTGTTATTCACTTGCCAGCTGCTAATTCGGAAAGTCCAGCATTTGAGATTACAGCAGTAGTCGATCCCGTTTCTAGAGGAGCTCAAAAGTTGGGTCCCATTTTGCAAGTTTTACAAGATGTTCTCAATTGTAATATGAAAATATTTTTAAACAGTGCAGAAAAAAATAGCGACATGCCTTTAAAGAGGTAATTACGTAAACGTTTTATTAGAGTATTGGTTATCTACTTTGTGAAATCGCAATATAACTTTGTTTGTTTTCCTTTTAGCTTTTACCGGTTTGTTCTGGAGCCTGAAATCCAGTTTGCAGAGGACGGCCATCAGCTGCCTGGACCAATTGCTAAATTTTCGAACATGCCTACAGCCCCCTTACTAACACAAAACATTCATGTCCCTGATAATTGGCTTGTAGAAGTTGTAAGAGCAGTTTACGATTTGGATAATATTCGACTCGAAAATGTAGACAACGTTGTACACAGGTAAATTGTACTTAATTATTTTTTTATTTAATTTCTAAAGACTAGTAAAAGCAGTAATAGATAAAATTATACAGAAAATTAGCTAATGGATAATATGACTTTTTTTATATTATAATACATTTAACGTTTGTTATTCAAATAACATTTAGAAAATAGACAAATGATACTAATTTCCTTTTAAACCGCATTGAAATTGTTACAGTGAGTATGAGTTAGAGTTTCTTCTTGTGGAAGGTCACTGCTTTGACGCAACTACTGGAAGTGCACCAAGAGGCCTTCAGATAACATTGGGCACTGAAAAGAAACCAGTTATGGTAGATACAATTGTTATGGCTAATTTGGGTTATTTTCAATTAAAAGCCAATCCTGGCGCGTGGCTTCTGCGACTACGTCAAGGAAAAAGCGCTGATATCTACGAAATTGTGGGGTAATTTTTTTTTTAAATTATACAAACTAAAAATCGTCTACACACCAAATGATATTTGAACTTTTGCAGACATGAGGGTAGTGATACTCCCCAAAATTCAAATGATATAAAAGTTCTAATCAGTTCCTTGAGATCAAATGTGATTAAATTAAAGGTGCAAAAGAAACCTGATAAGATGCATGTAGATCTTTTGGCCAGTGACGAAGAAAATTCAGGAATTTGGAACTCCATTACAAGGTATTTTACTTCTATTTTTGTTTGCAATTCAATAAATGTACTATTTATGCGTTTCAGTTCTTTTTCGGGCTCTGACGACGACACTGATGAAAAATTAAACATTTTTTCTGTGGCTTCTGGACATTTGTACGAACGATTTTTAAGAATTATGATGTTATCAGTTATAAAACATACGAAAAGTGCGGTCAAATTTTGGTTTTTGAAAAACTACTTGTCACCGCAATTAAAGGTACGCGTGAAATTTACAAATGAATGTTAGATATTTGGTTTTTTATTTTTATTTTTCTTTCTAGGATTTCCTACCATACATGGCAAAAGAATACGGCTTCGAGTATGAACTTGTTCAGTATAAGTGGCCTAGATGGTTACATCAACAGACCGAGAAGCAAAGAACTATTTGGGGCTATAAGATCCTTTTCTTGGATGTTCTGTTTCCCTTAGACGTTAAAAAGATAATTTTTGTAGATGCAGATCAAGTGAGTAAAGTCTTAAGAAATATCTCAATTTTAATTTTTTCATTTGTATGTATACACACAGTAAAAAATTGTAGTAAACGTCATTCCTTTACAAGTTATTATGGTTATTAGGTTGTTCGTGCGGATTTAAAGGAACTTCAGCAACTTGATTTAGGCGGTGCCCCATACGGTTATACGCCATTCTGTGAGTCGAGAAAAGAAATGGAAGGTTTTCGGTTTTGGAAACACGGTTATTGGAAGAACCATCTGCAAGGGCGAAAATATCATATTTCAGCTCTGTACGTTGTACACTTGAAACAGTTTCGTAGAATAGCTGCGGGAGATAGACTTAGAGGACAGTACCAAGCTCTCAGTCAAGACCCCAACAGTCTGTCGAATTTAGATCAGGATCTTCCCAATAATATGATACATCAGGTTGCTATTAAGTCTCTGCCTCAAGAGTGGTTGTGGTGTGAAACTTGGTGCGATGACGAATCAAAGGAAAAGGCAAAAACTATCGATTTGGTAAGTGCTTCTGTTGTTTTGTGATAGTAATTTCATATCTCCTATCTTCTTCTAATAATTAAAGTTTACATAAAGAATTAAGGTTAATTAATCTCTTGTCGTTCTTTATAGTGTAACAATCCAATGACAAAAGAAGCTAAACTTTCAGCTGCAATGAGGATTCTCCCAGAATGGAAGGAATACGACGAAGAGATTCGACGGTTGCAGAAAAAAATTGACTCTGGTGTTTTAGATGCGGATGTTGAAGATGTTGATGAAGGTATGTGCTTTTAGAGTAGCGTTTCTTTAGTACCTTTCATCTTACTGATTAAATTTTTAGGAGGCAGTCATAATATTCACAGCGAATTATAATGGAGATATTAGGTAAAATAAAGACGTGTAAATATAGATAGGTCAATAAATGTGAACTGTATATCAGAAACAACTTTCCTATACATTTTTCAATAGTATCAACATTACCATGATAGAAGTACATTTTCAATTTTAAAATCACTTTCAATAAAATCTTTCTTTAACTGGTGTTTTATTTATCTTCCTATAAAAAAAGAAAATTCATGCAAGGTATAATTTTTGATAATTCAGTTGTATCCTCTGGTAATATCTGAATAGAAGAAAGTAATTGAAGATATATTAGGAGCAAAGAGGGGCAGAGAAATACCTTGATTAGATCACTGACAACCTTCTGATCGGGAATTTAAAGAAAGACTGGGGATTTTATGACGTTGGAAGTGTAATAGAAGATGGAAAAGGTTGTCAATAGAAATGACAGTATTAATATAAAAAGAATATACATAAAGTATAACGAATAAAGCTATGTGATTTTATTATACTAGTTTTTATAAATTAATTACATTGTAAAAAATAAATAGGTAAGTATATTACAAATTTCTAAATTCTATATAAAACTGTCAATTACAAATTTGTTTTTCTATCACTGTTCGACACGTTTTGCATTTAACATAGCAGCAATGAAAATATTTACAAAAGCATTGTTCTTCTTTTTCCTCTCTGATTGTGCGGTACCCCCGTCCGCAGCACATATTGTGGCAACTATCCAACCCTTGAGAAGTGCTGTTGCATTCTCTGAAATACATAAAATAAACAAGTGTTCGAAATTATTCAATATTTCGAAATAAAGACTTATTGTTCAGGTACTAAAGGGTTTGGGAAGTCCGGAGTCCCTCTCACCAGAAGTTAAGAAATTAAAATGTAATTTAAAAGTAGGTACATATATACATATCAAATTAAAGGGTTCCGCATTCTACCCTCCTTAAAAATGAGTGCGGTACGATTGGTCGCACGGTTCATGCGTGTCTGACTAAAACGCGTGGAGTTTGGTAATTAATTAAAAAAGAAAAAATGTTAAGTTGGGAATTTCACCATAAATTAACGAAAAGTTTTGGGACTTCCCTCCCTCTCAGAAAAGATTATTACCTTCCAACTGTTCCCAAACTCCCTAGGCTTTCATTTCTAGTGCAATAGTTCGGAGATTTTGATAAATATATTAGTTGATTTCCTTTAGCAAATGTTATTTTAGAAACTTGAACATTATTCGTTTCTTTGTCGTATGGTACTTCTTTGGCGTTATCGTAATACGTCAACAGCTTATTTCCAATTTCGGCAAGTGGCGGCAGAGTTTTCCAACAGGTTTTTAATGTACATGATCCAGACATTCCGTGACATTTACAGGCGTCCTTAAGAGTTCCACCTATTGCCTGTAAAAAATAATGGTGCACCTTTAAGATACAATTCTTAATAGAAAAGTTTTGTTGAGAAAAACTTAAGAAACAAGAATCAACATTTGCATTTGTATATTTTAGTAACAACTTATTGTAATTTAACGGATTATTTTTGTTGTTATAATTTACCTTTCTTCCAACTCGACTGTTGTGGTTATTAATACTGGAGATTTCTTTATTCCACCTGGTAAGTTCGATACCCTCGTCAAGCCAGTATTTGTACCAGTTTTTCTTTTTGTCCTTCTTTTCGAGCTTTTCGGCGGCTTCAATGAACCTTTTGGAAAATCGCACCCCCTGTTTAACATTGTCTGGACATCCGCCCCAACGGAATTCCTTCGGTGATGATGCACGGGGTTTGTTTCCACAACTGCACATTTGTATGCTCCCCGATGCGCAAGCTTTCGCAATCTGATGAGCTAAAGCTGCTGAGCTTAAAGCGTATACAAAAGCTTGTTCTTTTGTAGCTAAAAAATATTTACAATCATTTTATTGTTCAAGATATAATGGGCATTTAAAAAGTAATAATGACGTGCGAAAGTTTTTAATTCTTTTTAACAGCAGCGGATTCAATCGTCAAAATAATTAAAAAACTTTTATGTTTTTAAAGGAGTTCAAAAGTTTTTACAACATAAAACAATTGTTTTAAGCTTTTGGTCTAAAATTTGTAAGGACAAAAACAATTGCAAAATTACGGGGCATTCAACATTTTGCTGAAGTTTAAATATATTACGTAAAATAATAGCAATACTGTACAATTTATTGTTCTTTTATATTTTTACCTGTAGTTATTTTTTGGATACACCATTGGTGTTTATTATCAGCAGATTGCTTGACTCTTGTTGTGGGAAAGGAGAATAACAAAGTGAATGCTTACAATAGTTTAATATGGTTTTTACTTCTTTTACGGTTATTAATTCGGTAATTAGCGATCATTTAATGATAAATAAATCGAGTGTTATTAATATAAATGGTTCGGATAAAGGGTAAATACTGTAAATGATTCATAAACTGGATTTTTATCGGCCTAAAAACTTATCGTTTGTACGAATAACATTGGTGGTGATTGTAGTGGTTGTGTTTGGAAGACGTTGGATAAAAATATAATAAACAAATCAGCTGTTGACAGTGTATGGTAAGTTTTTTTAGTTTATTCAGTGTATCTAATGGTGATAGCGATAGCTTTCGACTGATGAAATGTATATTTAGAAAGAGCTCACAACTTTTTAGAACTGATTTGTACAGTGTGGCGTAGCAAATAGGGACAGTACTAGAGTGGCTCCAGAGCTCAGAGGGCTCATATTTAGTAGTTCAAATTAATTGTGTGTAATAATGGATCTAATTTATACCAGAAAAACAAATGGAGATGATGTAAATAAAATACTAAAACTAATACTTTTGGTAAATGTCTAGATGAGGGTGGGGGTGGGTGGGATCGAAAGAGGAGGTCTCCCCCACCACTGTACCATAAAAAGTTCGTGGCGGTCTCACCCCCATAAAAAGTTATGGGGCTTCAAAGTTAGTAAATATGCCAATTTTTATACATTTCTAGGCATGTAAATATTTATATGGTCATTCTTAAACAATATTCAAAGGTGAAACTAATGGAAAAATACATAAAAATATTGAGAAAGTNCATAACCTAACCTAACCTACCCTATTGATAAAGATATTTAAATAATGTTTTATATAACTTTCTCAATATTTTTATGTATTTTTCATTAGTTTTACCTTTGAATATTGTTTAAGAATGACTATATAAATATTTGCATGCCTAGAAATGTATAAAAATTGGCATATTTATTAACTTTGAACTTTTTATGGGGGTGAGACCGCCAAGAACTTTTTATGGTACAGTGGTGGATGAGATCTCCTCTTTCGATCCCCCCCATCCCCACACCCTTCGGAGGTGGGGGCCATCATCTACACCTTTACCATACTTTTCTAAATTTGTGAAAACAAAAGAGCACCTCTTAGTAAATCCGGTTTAAACGTTGGAGCTGTTTCAACAGTTGAACAATTCCATCTTCTGTTATGGAGTAATTGTTGGCATGTTTTGGTTGCCAATGATGCCGCCGATTCGACAAAAGGAAACATTTCCAGATGAGATTTGCAAATTTTCGTTTGCAATCTTGTGAAACCGAAATGTTTCCTTGCGTACGCACATGGTGCTTTGATATCCAGTTTTGGCGTTCCCAATGTTATTATCTTTTGTTTCATTGGATTTGGTTTTATCCACTGAATGTTCGCGTTCTGCATTGATCTGAAATAAAAATGAACACATTTGTAGAGCCTCTATCTTATTTTGATAAATATGATCAGATGTTTTAAAAAAGCAACTGACTGGAGTTAATCTTTGTGTGAAGCCCATAATGATTTTCGATTTATAGAAGGAATAGCCTCATTAATTGTTCACATAATTATCATATCTCAAAGCATAAAAAAGACCCTTTACCTCCTAATAATTCCACGAGTGCTTTACATATTTAGCAAAATTAATACTAAAAAGCATCTGTTTGACATCGCACTTGAAAACTGTTAACACCATGAGATTCTACGTACTTTTTTACATAATTGTCGTTTCTCAAAGCTTAATAAATATGTTCTATCTCCCTACAATTTCACGAGCGCTTTCTTATGCTTAAACTATTAGACATATTTTAGCAAACAACACCAGAAACTACCTATTTGGCATCGCACTCGAAAACCGCTGACACCATGAGATTCTACGTACTTTTTTACATAATTATCGTTTCTCAAGGCATAACAAATACATTCCACCTCCCTACAATTTTACGAGCGCTTTTTTATGCTTACATTATTAGACATATTTTAGCAAACAATACCGGAAAGTACGTACGTGGCTTCGCACTCGAAAACCGTCGACACCATGAGATTCTACGTACTTTTTTACATAATTATCGTTTCTAAAAGCTTAATAAATATGTTCTATCTCCCTACAATTTCATGAGCGCTTTTTTATATTAAAATTATTTTATGTCGGAATAATGTCGGAAAATACTTATTTTTTGACACCGCACTCGAAAACCGTTGGCAGCATGAGATTCTACGTACTTTTTTACATAGTTATCATTTCTCAAGACGTTGTAAGCATGTTTCATCTCCTAATAGTTTTACGAGCGCTTTTTTACGTGCTGTCGACATCAATGAGTAAAGGTGCCGGCGGTATCGATTGTCGTCCGAGGTACTCGCTGACAACAATACCAAACTTTGTTTAAGATGTCCATTGCTTTCGCTATTTAAATATCTTAGTCTTTAATTAATAAAATATTCTAGTATATCGCCTCTTTAAGTCGGTCACTTTGACCCGGGTTTTGTTAATTTAATTTGATTTTGATTACCTAACTGTCTATTGGGTTATTAGAGTTATGAATACACTCAACCGGTTCTAAGGTCTAGCATTGTAAAATGCTTACATTGTTGATTTATTAAGATTAATATTATAATCTCATAAGCAATATTTTTTTAGTTGGCGTACCTATAATAGGGATACGTGATAAATATAATTTTGTTCACACCATTAATTTTGTTGTATGGGTCGTAATCGTCGAACAAAAATGAGACGAAACTATAATTAGGATGTTCTTGGTGCTGTAAATCTGGTTTAAATTTCAAAGTATGTAATTAAACATTTAGTTGAATATCCTGTTGTCACTTTCGATCGATTATTTATTGTTGGTTCGTTTCTCAATTCTCAACTGCCTGTCGAATCATTCTGTCTATACATGTTTTTCTCTCGCTAGTGAAAATATGGAAAAAGAAAATACACGTACACATAATTTTATCCAGTAAATACATGTACGCACATACATAGAAATGTATGTGCGCGGTTTATTTTGAATAACACCTATTTAAATTGGTTGTGTTTATGGTCTTGCATCCTGGGAAGCTATAAAATGCCTTTTTACTTCTAAATTGCAAAGGCATAAAATTATTTTCAAAAGCCCGCCTGTTTATAAACGATTTGAGTAAGTACTTTCCCGATATTAAAAATGCGTCTGCTCTAATTTGATCGTAGTAATTCTACAAATTTGGAAAGATATCAAACCATACACTAACACAATTTAAACTTTGAATTGAAACAATGTAACACATCAATGACGATTGGCGATCGCCGAGACTAGAGACGAATGAAATTTTGTCTTATAGGTGGTGACAATTTAGAATTGGCTATACAAGTTTGAACCCCGTACCCGGAAGAACGGTTTTCATTAAGTTATATGGCAGACATTTAAGTCTAGATTTTAATACGTCTTTGGTTCTTTTTTCTCCACGTGTATGCCAAAATGTTGCAAATTTATTTTCTTCGTCCATCAACGCCTACCTGGAGAATTTTATGTTAATTTTAATCTAGTTTTAGCATGAGTGCTCATTTTATGGCTTCGGAATGGCAGTTTATGGCATTCTGGTGTAATTAACCAACGTAAAAAGTAGATAAAATAATTTCACCATATTCACCCGTATTCAAATCTATACCTAGTTTGAAACAAACTTTGTCTTAATCATTGTAGTTTAGTGAATATAGCAAAGATAATTAAAATAAAAATATTTTTTAATCCTTAAAACAGCCATAATATTATTTTGGATCGAAAATATTGGAAAATATGTTTTCGCTTTTTGGTTGTATAAAAAAATATACTACAAAAAATATGTGTATCATAAATGTTTAATGAATATAGGAACTTAAAACAATATTAAGTAATTATTACATACATACATACATTTTATTTTGGACTAAAGTTATTCAATTGAATAGAAGAAATTGAAGAAACAATAAAATCATTTCTAACAATTATCTTCACAAAGAATTAGTTTGTCACATAAAATTATACCATAACAACCGTACACATATCATTTAAGAGATTTCAGAAAGATTTGGAAATAAAAAATGTGAAATTGATCTTTTTTGATGGTTTGTTCTTCACAATTACAAAAAACTGTATGTTGTGCTTAAAAAAGATAAAGTTCTATTAGTACGTATGTATTATTATATAACTAATGTAACGACCTATGTACTATGCCTGTTTGGTGTTCCTAAATTACAGGGCGTGAGATGAACTATTTGATCTTCTCAAAATACACACGATAAAAATCAATTTTACGATCTTCAAACACTCGCAATGGTGCATTAAGGATTGTTTTTTCCTGTTTCGTTTTGTATAGTTATTTTATCAACACCTATCTGTCGTTCATCCTCAGTTATTTCAGTTAATTGTCATCTTTTTATGAAGTTCAGATTTTTAAAGACAGCGGTTGTTAAGAATTTTATCATAATGTAACAGTACTCGCGGTCTTCTAATATTATAATAATTCTTCCTATATAATTACAGTGTTTGAAAATGCTTAAAAGATATTTCAATAATTTCATAGTCCACATTTTTTAAAAGTTTATCAATTAAATGTATTTTTGATTATTTTCCTTCTTTCTTGCTTCTGTTTAAAATAAATATTTTAAGTCAAAATTTTTCGTGAATTTGTTGAACCTGGTACACATAAGAATAATTTGGCTAAAAGGTATTTTGGTTTTCCCGTTTTTAAAAACTTCTAGCAACTTTTAAACAATAACACGTGGAGAAATGGAAAATAACAAAACCGATATAGTAAAATAGGGTAGTTTTCTATTTCTGTACGTGTTCTACTATACTAAAATATAAAAAAGAACGAATTATTCTACTTTTAAAAGATTTATATCACCTATAATGTTCAAAGAAGATCTTAGCTTTTAAGAAAATTAATTTTTTTTTCACAAGAAGGTGCTATAAAGTACAGTTTGGATCTCCTTTGAGTATCATTAAAAATAATGGACCATAGAACGAAAGTGAAAACGGTAATCCGATGAAAAACAATTGTAATATACTCATTTGAAAAATAACTCATCTGAGGGAAGTATCAAATTATGTCGAAGCAAAGTTTTCTGTGAATAATTACATCCCGATGTTGATTTTAATTCTATCAATATTTGTATTTATTAATTCAGAACTACAGACAAAATAAAAATAGTTTCCATACTTGGGCATTCGTTTTTGTCAGAAATTAGTAGCACACATTTTTAATTCGTTTTTAATGTAAAACCCATTTAAACATAGCAAATTGTAAATGTTATGGCAAAATAATTAGCAGTGTTAAAATGAACACGAATCGATATTTAATAAAGCTAATTATATGTTTAATTTAATTGTTTAACAAATATTTAAATGCATGCATCTACTTGTTATTTTTATGTGGTATGAACATTAGAAAAAGGAAGAGTTTAAATAAAATATAAACAATTTACAATCAATTAACTTACAGCCATCTTATGCCTTCGCTCACGTGTAAAGTAGTTGTGATTAGGTATGCACCAATGATAAAAAAATCGACAATAAAACGCATTTTCGAAAATTAATATCGCACTTAATATGAAATTAGTCCTGGCCAGGTAGACCACTTAATGCGATATAGTTCACGGTTAAAAGTCAACTGCACTAAATCATTGGAGTGTTCTTTAAAAATAGGGATATCATGGAATCTTAACAAGGTGAAATTTACTAGTAGGAGTCTAGCAATACCATCTACCAATTGCGCGTTGCTAATTTGCTTTTGCTTAAAAATAACGAATGGCAAAATTATCACTCCATTTTTACTTTCAAATTTAGATACTTGGCTGAAAAATAATGACGTTACTATAACATAATAACCTTATAAGGTGACTACGTTTCGGAAAAGCTCGAGAAGTTTGAAAAATGGCAGGAAATCTTCATCCGGTGGGGATGCTTTTCATCCGAAATATTCAAATTATTTTCTGATAGAAACCAAAACAGTCTAGCATTGAAAAATAATCAAATAAAGGTGGTTGTGTGCATGAGAACAATCTCGATTTGATTTTGTCCAAAACTGTTTATTAATCAATATAAGACATACTAAATAAACTAGTAGAGTTAATAATATTATCAGTCATTGTGGCTAATTTTCGATCTTATTTCAATTTATTTATCAAAAATAATGCCAGGAAGTACCCCTGTAAAATCGTATTCAAAAACCCAATGATTTAACGAGCGCTATTTTATGTTGACATTATTTTATATATTTTAGAAAAAATAGTGCCAGGAAATATCCGTATGAAATCGATATCAAAAATCATTGGCACCATGAGATTCTACGTACTTTATTACCTAATTATAATCCCTCAAAGCTTAGTAGATACCTTCCGTTTCCCAACGATTTTACGAGCGCCTTTTTATAATGATATTGTTTTATATATTTGATCAAAAATAATTCCAAGAATTGTCCGTTTGAAATCGCACTAAAAAACCATTAGTACCATGAGATTCTACATACTGTTTTACGTAATTATCATCCCCCAAAGCTTAGCAGAAACCTTCTATTTCAAAATGATTTAACGAGCGGTATTTTATGTTGACGTTATTTTATATAGTTTAGAAGAAATAGTGCCAGGAAATATCCGTATGAAATCGCTATCAAACATCATTGGCACCATGAGATTCTACGTACCTTTTTATGCAATTATCAACTCTCAAAGCTTAGTTGGTACCTTCCATCTCCCAATGATTTTACGAGCGCTTTTCTATGTGGACATTGTTTTGTATAAATAATTCAGTAAAAATAATGCCAGGAAGTACCGTTTAAAATGGCATTCAAAACCCATTCGAACCATGAGATCCTATGTACTATTTTGCGTAATTATCATCTCTCAAAGCCTAATAGATACCTTTTATCTCCCAATGATTTTACAAGCGCCTTTTTATGCTGACACTATTTTATATATTTTAGCAAAAATTGTCTCTTTGAAATCGCACTCAAAAACCGTTGGTACCATTAAATTCTACGTACTTTTTATTATAACTTCTCAACGCTTAGTCTTCTTCTTAATCTTTCGTGTATAGTGATCATTTTCCTAAAATCAGGATAGCAATTTTTTTACTTTTATGATTCTTTTCTGTTATTGCTTAGGGGCAAAGTGCCTAATTTAATTTTTCAACAACACAATTTTCACACTAGTGAAGCATGTAATCCATAGTCATGGATGGGAAAATTTCTCCCATTCTCCCCTTACCTGAGTCCACCAGTATAGTAGCAAATAAGTGCCTGTGGATTCGCCAATTTGTGTAATTAACTGGCAAATAGATAATCGTATGTAATTACTATTTTTGAGCATTACTGTGACGTCTATAATCTGTTTTTTATATATATGACCATTAAAATATTAATTTAATAAATTAAATGCATAATAATTATGTTAATTTACAGTATTTACCAACAAGTGGTTAGATTTGCAGATAATATTAATACATGTGTCTCCAGATTATCAGCAGCAGCTACCTAAAACGTACAATATGAATGATTTTAAAATTATTTAGAACTCATTTAAATACACTTTTTTAAAACTTTCTTTATTCATTATAATAATCGATGTATTAATATATGTATGTAAATCACACTCTGATAACGTAAATATTTGCATGCAATTTTATTAATTTGTACATGGGTGTAGATAATATGATTGCTTTATAATTGTTACAACAATTATACATAATTGAACAGAAATTGCTATCCTGTTAATTGGACAGTGTTATTCGTCAAACTGAAAAATTGTGTAATATTATTAACTAATTAAGCTGTAATAATAAAAAAAGTTAAAAATGGTGTGTACCATATTTACATGAGAAACCGTTTTTATTAAATATGAAAATGAAAAGCTATATAGAGTACATAGATTATTGGAATAAGTTGTCAAGAAATAAATTCTATAATTGCTTTTCAGGACATTATTTAGAACATTTCTCGGCATAGTACTTGTACTTCTTCAGAAAATTGAGAAATGAAGATCTTAAGAAAGCCAACACTAAGAGAAAAAAGTCAATAGCTAGATTTTTATTGTTCTTATTTCTCTTTTCATTTAATGTTATAAAATTATAGAGTTAAATTTAGTGGTAGGCACTTTAAATAAAAAACTGCATGGTTACTTAACTGAGGGATGCTTGGTGTTGTTATAAATAAAAAGTCGCATTATACTTATTTCAATCAAACATTTATTAATTAATTTTAAATGAGTGACATTCATTATTTTCATAATAAACTTCGTTCAAATGCTTCTTTAAGGACTGATTGACAATCAACTTTAACATTACTATCAATAAACAATATATTTCTAAAACAATTAACCAAACAACCAATATTTCATAATTGAATTTACTTTACTTATTACTAATTGAGCTGCCAATTATATTTTTTGGCATGTAAATAATTAATGTGTTCATAAATTTGTTATGTTTTAAACATACTTATTAATATTATTAATTAGTTTATATATCAATAATTACAAAAACTTCACATTTGCCCTTTTCAGGTTCGTTTATGATTTGCATGGCAGAATAAGTAATTGCTTTTACTTCAGTCCCTTGTGGATGTTTACCCAGAGTAAATTCTTCACCATAACACTTGCACTTGATTCTAAGTTCTTCACCATCTGTTTTAAATTCCGTAATGGTTACTTTTGAACAAATCAAATAGGGTTCACAACTGAATAGGAAAAGTAATTCATCTAAAAACTTGTACAGGAGACTTTCCAAATCATGACCTTCAGCTTCTATTATGGCAGACTGCTTTATTTCTACTGTTTCCAGTTCTGTCATGTATCCATACATAGCAATTCCACATTGTTCAAAGGCTTCTTTAAGACTGTCTCCCCAAGCATGTAATCTGTGTATGAATTAAAATAATAAGCACATCATGTTTTGCAGTATATTCAAATACTTACTGTACATCTGCTGTATGATCCAAATCTAAAAGAAAAGAATATAAATCCTGTTTCATTGAAATTTCAACAACATTGTAAACTTACACTCATATTTACAAGGAGGCAGTTTGAGTTCTTCTTCACTAAAGACTTCAGTTCCATCTCCTCCTGCCATTGTTTTTAATTGTATATATTCTAATACAGTTAGAACTATTTTATTAATGTGTTTTGATAAGTTTTAATGAATAATTTAAACCTTTTAACTAAGATTACATGGTTCATAAATATTAGGTTAGGTTTAACTGACATTAGAAAATGAAATAGAAACAGTCAAGCAGGTTTACTCTTTTTCAACGAGATGTCGTTGTATGTATGATCTTTTAATTAAAATAAGTAATCACCTTTCATTTTTAATACTTTCTTTTATTTTTATACTTAAAATAAAGCATTTTTCTAATTATCAGATAAAATTTAGATAAAATTATTTTTTATTGGTGAATTAATTATTTGTACTTGTAAAGAAATTGTTACTTTAGAACATTTAAAATGACAATATTTTAATTATAAACTTTAGTTCTTAAACCAATTTATTGGTTTTTAGATGTTTAGAAAATTTGTTACTAATGAAACAGTGTAATTTTGACGAGTAAAACAATAATTTATAAATTTTTACGTAATTATAATTAAAATTTTGGCGCAGCGAAGTATACCATCCTATGCATCGAGGGTGACTAACGAAAGTATGCAACTTTAATTGATATAAACAAACCTAATGCATCTGATTGGCTATTGCGTCGGCGGCCATCATGCTGGCGCCTAAAACTAGGTCAAGTTTATCCACCTGCATCTAATGGAATGTGAATGTAAACAATAAAGGCGCCACTTTATAGGAAGTAATGTAGGAGAAATTTTAAAAAGGCCTAACTCAGTTATTTATTAACCGATTTGAATGCGGTTTTTACCAAAATTTAGGAAATTTAACGCTGCTTAACGCTAATAACAAAAATAAAATTAATTTATCAACACTCCATTAGAGATACACTGTTTTATATTACACTTTAGGTTTATATTCGCAAAATATATATTAAAACAATCGCGAGAAGTAATTCTGTAAGGATCCCCATGTAAAATAAACAGTTGTTGTTAGGATAACCTGATTTGAATTTAATTTAATATTCTGTGCGTTTATAAAAAGCACCTTTATCAAATTCCAACACTTTGAATAGTTTTTTCTGCATTTATAGTTTTTGTTTATTAAAGAACTTTTGTGATTTCTTCGTGTATTTTCAGTAGATAAATTTATAATGAAGGTAATCTATTCTTTGTTCTTTTTTGATACCTATTAATTTTTGTTTTATTTATTGTTTTTATCCACATACTATTCACTTTCGAGATGATTAAGAAATTAATAGA